TCGTAATGCGAAAGTAAATACAAAATAAAATAACTTCCAATATTGACTATGTTTATTTTATGAATCACTAAATGGATTATAAAAAAAGACAGATGAGAGGCAAAATGTAATATAGAATTACTCATGGGAAAAAAGAACATCTTAATCAATCAATAACCTAGTACTAATTCTATCAGAGAAAGTTTCGCTACGAAATCAAAACGAAAACGTATCGAAATTAAGTTTAACACTACACTAGCGTGAATTTGTTTCGTTGTAGCGTTCCTTCTAACCCATAGGCTCACAACGCGATATCAAATCTGAAGGAAATCTTTTGATATCTTACTAACCTTACTAATATCATAAATGCGAATGTTTAGATAGACGGATGTAGTAGTTGAAGGTATTTCTGGAATGACTCAACTGATCTCACTGTTATAGTTGTAAAACATAGTCTGGAAGAATACATAGACTACTTTTTTTAACTCCGTGCGGACGGATTCGCGATCTACAGCTAGTCAGATCGCCAGTCAGATAATAGTGACGCCTTCGCGACAGATACAAGCCTAATATATTCTATTGTTCATATCTTATATCTTTAAATGAGCAATTCTTGTATATATAATTGGAATCTCCTAATCGGCTCCAACGATTTTCATAAAATTCCGTATTTAGGGGGTTTCGGGAGCGACAAATCGATCTAGCTACGAATCATTTTTAGAAAATGTCATTTTATTCGTTTTTTATCGATAATCGACTTAAACATACACTCAACTTTTTCTATCGGTAAGATCGAAAAATATTATTCATATTTCATCATTTTATTAGTAATTCGTACTTAAATATAATTTCCATCATCGGTCATCCAGGTACTCTGTCTCAATCCAGACACTTCAAAAAGGTTTTATTAAATGTTAATTGTAATAAAACAATACTTATATTACAGCAAATAAATGAGCAATCACATAAATTCAAACATTTGTTTACTCGACCGAAATCTAATAAAGTATTCAGAATTGCAAATTATGCAAACAAAGGCAGATGTTCATAATCATTTGTATTCAAATTAAACTGACACCGGTTGCTTGTGTTGTATTTAATGTAATTTTAATCCGTATCGTAATATACAGGTAAAAGATGAACGGAGACAATATAATGTGGAACAGAGTTTTAAATAGCTATTATAGCTGTTGTAACACATGTTTGAGAACGATATTGTTATCTTTGTTATTTTCCTAGGGTGTGAGAAGGATGGCAAAATTGTTTCACAACCGTTCGTTTAGTTTTATTCATGAAATCAAAATTACTCTTGTTTATATGTAAGTCTTAATCTTATCTTACTAATATTATAAATGCGAATGTTTAGATGTATGATTTTTGTAAGAAGATATGTTCGGAACTGTTCAACGAATCTTGATGAAATTTGGCATACATATACTCGTACAACATAGTCTGGAAGAACTCATAGGTTACTTATTAAGTTTTTTGTTCCGCGCGGAAGAAGTCACGGGCAACAGCTAGTAATATAATAAATGCGAATGTTTAAATGGATAGATGGAAGTTTCTTTAAAGAGATTTCGGAACAGCTCAACGGATCTTTATGAAATTTGGCGCAATCGTAAAATAAAGCCTGGAAGAACACTTATGCTACTTATTAATTCTGCGCGGAAGGAGACGCGGGCGACAGCTAGTATATATAATTTAAATGCCCAAAATATTAGGAAAACGTTATATTTTCGTAAAATTGTACAAGCTCATATTCTCTACGGAACGACATGAATAAAGTAATAAAACATCGTAACGTATATAATTGGAGGCTTATGCCTGTAATAACAGGATTCGCCTCCAGATTCACTTTATGAGAATAATTCTGAAGAGGGGACAATATTAATTGAAAATTGCCTTATTCAATGTGTGCCAACGTTATTGAAATTTGAATTTTATGAAGAAAGATAATAGAATGTTCGAGATGTTTATTTCAAATAACGTCTATTATTTGACTACGTAAATAGTTAAGTAGCGAGAATTCAATGTCAATTTTCAATACTTTAAAATTCCATAGCTGTTATAGATTTATAGCTATAACTGTTATAACAAATTATTATCAATAAAATATCCATTCTTAAGGAACTATCCAAATAATATTTACTTACCTACTTTAGTAAGAAAGCCTCGCAAATGATAGAGCTATAGTCATTGCTCAACGCAGGGCAACTTTATTTCACATGACTGTAATGTGTTGTTTGTATAATTATTTTATTGTGAGATATGCCATACAGTGCAGCACAAATAATGCTTGGAAGACTCGGCAACCTTCGGCAAGTATGTGATGAAGATAATAATAACAATATTTACTAATTCAGTCTTACCAGAAATATGCACAACGTGACATTCCCAAAGAACGATAGTATTAATGCATTTCACGTATCGTTGCGTCAAATGTAATCGAAGTTTTAGCTTCAGAGTTCATCCATCATATATATTTCCCTATCGGCCTACGAAATGTCTATGACAAATTACTCTTTTAATATCTACCAGATTTGACATAAGACTTCATAGAGGTTCATGCATCAGTTCACTATACGTCCCCACCGAGGGCCACTATGATGACTAGGCCATAGTCAACCACGCTGGCCAAGTGCGGGTTGGTTGACTCCATACATATCTTTAAATTTCTTCTCAGATATGTGCAAGTTGCATCACTCTGTTTTCCTTCACCGTAAGAACGACGGATAAATGTACGTATGTAAATCGGAAATCGAAAAACACATGGTGGGATTCGAACCCAGGACCTGCAGATTGCAAGTCAAGTGCTCTGAGCAACCGACTCTCATAGAGGTTATGCATTATATTTTACTTTTGTGTCAGTAATAAATGTATATTGCCAACGTTATAAAAAAAAGCAAAATTTAAACTAACCTTTCGCCGATTCAGCCAATAGACATAAGCTCAATATTCAATCACCTTTATAATAAAAAAAGTTATTCAAATACAAATTTAAAAAGACTAATTGTAACGTAATATTAGATGTATAGTTAAAATACCATAATCCATCAAATGAATTGAAAGCAGTGTTATGTTTATTAAATTTTGATATCAAATATCATTCCATTTGTTTTGTTTTACAAAAACTCTGCAAAGCTATCAATCAGATAATAATCAATATTTTTGTGGTAGAAATTTGAAGCTGAAAGCCATTAAATTTTTATGAAAAAAAAATCTAAATGCCAATGTTTTGTACTAGAACGTAAACTCTTTGCATTACAAGTTTAAGACAAGTCTTAACTAAGGTATTATTATATCAATATTATTAAAGTAAGTTAGAAATTTTCTTAACTAAAGTAGATCATTTTTTCATCCGTACTTGTGAACGTTGGAAGAATAAGTGTCCATTGTCCCTGTTCAGACTTAACGCCTGCGCAAATGTTGCGGCAAAACGCCATCGCGGGAACGTTGCCGATGCCCGCATCAGGCGCTTGGGCCATATATATACGTCTCTGTCTATTCGTGTCACTTACCTTCAAATCATTGTGCAATTCGCATCTTTTTTAATTATATTAATTTTACTAAGTATCTGGGCTTTTAATTTGCACCATCTATCCGCTAAAGATAGAACATGGTGGCCCATGAGGGGAAACAAAGAAGAATCCGCGAAATAATAACAATTAATATGTAAATACGACGAGACACCGGTTAGCGTAACGTAACGATCTTCAACATCACATCAAATCATTCCTGTTGATGGAGCCTTGCAGTGGTTATTTCTAAAATCACGGGCTGTATTGGAAAACAGAAAAACAAAGAAGATTCGGGCAGTGAATCAGCTAAAGTTTCACATCGAGCCGTTACGAGTTCGTCCGCTAAGATAAGTGTCCTTCCTTAACTAATTCCTAAAAAACCTAATAACCAACAAAATAATATTCAAATCGTTCTTCATTTGTGTAAATTAAGTATTTTTAGACAAGTTTTACATTGTTTTATGCCCGTAAATTTGTTATTTAGTGCAAAATTGCATCTTTTTTTTTACCTACCCCATATAAAAAAAAAAAAAAAAGGTGAACAAAGGAATTAACTTGTAGTTATTTATCGCAATCTTATCTAAATTAATACATAAATCATTCAATTGTATGTTCACTATTCCGTCAAATTGGCCGATGGAACTATATTAAGCAATAAAAGGTCACTCAATTGATATAAAGTTAAATTATTTTAAGAAGTAACGTTGGTTTCGTATTTTAGTTTTTCTCGTTTCGTATTGTTTATACATACAATATTTAGCGTATTTGCCGAATATTCCAGGCTAATATTCATCATCGCCGTGCGCCGTTTGCAAGTACATACTGATCCCGTTGGATTACATTGGCCGGCCGGGAGCGTACTGTTGAGCGTGCGCAGCCGGTTTCCCTGAGCGGCAAGTACCACCAGAACGAGGAACGTGAGCCATTTCAATTTAATAAAGCAGGAATTGCATTGCTATTTAAATAAATAGATTCAATATTTAGTTAACTATCAAAAAAGAAAAGTTTAAATTATATTGGTTTGTTGTTGTTTGTTCGTAAGAGTTAAATTTAATGACAGAAGAAATGAATAAACAAAGTTTACGTGATTTAATTACTAGAAGAACGTCCGCCAAAGGACAAATTACAAAATTTAAAAATTATTTAAATAGCATTGCAGGTTTAATAGAACTAAACAACGTTCAATTAACGGAGTTAGATTTAAAACTCACTAAATTTGAAGCTTTGTCTATGAAGGTTGATGATTTGCAGAGTGAAATAGAGGTTTTAAATTATGAAAATATTTCGGCTGAAATTGAGGAACGCGATAAAATTGAGCAAGATATAATTATGAATATAGCAAAGGCAAAAACTTTAGTCGAAAAATTCTCCAAAAAATTAGAATGCGAAAAAAGGCGCAACTCGGGTCACAACGCGTCATGTTGTATAGATGATCCTAATCACCCCCACGAATTAGGATTGAAACTCCCTCAAATTCAAATAGCCAAATTTGATGGCGCATATTTCCGTTGGTTGGAGTTTAGGGATACTTTTGAAAATCTTATACATAAGAATGATCGCATATCAGACATCCATAAATTCCATTACCTCGTATCTTATTTGCAAGGCGACGCGGCCAGGATTATTTCGAATTTGGAGG